ATCTAACGGAGTGGGTGAAGCCTCCGCCCCATCTGACCTAATTCCTGCAATATTCATGTAAACACTGGCCTGAAGTAAAGTCAACACCTCTGAAATGGAGGAAAAGCCAAATGCGATCATGCCAGAAATACTGATAGCTCATGTTTTTTTTTTCTTATGAGAAAAACATCTAAACAACTATATCCCAGAAGTGGCAAGTTTTCTGGAAGTAAATTACCAGTAATTTGGTTATTCTTGGTTTAGCAACATCCTCTTCTGTTTAATGGCAGGCACTTACACTGAAATTAGACTGATCTGAGCAGTTGATAAACAAATGAAGAAGACTGCCTATCCACAAAATAATAAAAAGGGTAAACCCAAAATCTGCTAAACAAATTCCCAAAGAAGAAAAATACATCCTCCCTGGCAATGTGCTGAAGGACATGTCACCATGAGTAGGAAAAATCAACATTTATCTGATGCCCGCTTTTCATTTGATGTCTTTGTTGCACGCTCCTCCATTTGAGGAAATGAGATTAGGGAAAATGTTTGGGGAGTTTGGGGAAAATGGTGTGTGACGGGGGGTCTGTCCGGCTTCATCGCAGCTGCAAAAGCCGAAAACACACTGCTCTGTCTGACCTCATCAAAGAAACTTTGATTTAAAACCATGTGACAGAATATCAAACAGGGTGACGGTGCTCTGGGCTTTTGGATGAATGTTGTTGTGGAACATATCTCTGGTTTTCATCAAAACAGGGAACACCTGAAACTGGACCATGAAAACCATCTAATATAATTTTAGAAAAATGGAAGTGTGTCAAACAGGATGAAAATTAGGACATCTGAACCAGATATGTCCTTACCATCAGCAAAAAAGTATTAATTCAAAAGATTGGAGGCCCATATGGTTCTGCTTACCAGGAACCTGCTTGGACTGTAATATTTAATAAACATGCCAAGATATACAGCTCTCAAGTCATTTATAAACATTTTGCTCCCTGAGATGTTAGAATCTCAGGAGAATGACGGTCTTGCTTTGTTGTTCCCACCGGGCGATGTGAGATTTGGAGGGAGATTTAAGATGACATGAACTAGAGTCTGCCAACAAGCGTTGTGAGATAAACAAGGACAGAATTACAATGTAATTTGGTCAAACCAATGTATTATTATTTGAGAAAATCTGTAAAAACTAAAAAGTAGTTCTAAAATTCCCAAAATACGGGGGACATAGGAACCGTTCCGCAGGTTGAAACAAGAAAGGTGATACTGATCTCTCTGTGTCTTGCTCCCCATCTGACCTGTTTCCATTTACTCTCTGTGATTGATTATTAAGGACAATTCTCCTCTAAAATAATAGAATCAGAGCTGCATCATGCATCACATTTTCATTTTTATCATAGTTTTTGAGTCAGTGAATCATAGAGACATTACCAATCAAACAAACCCAACATCTAAAGAAAATATTCAATATACGTCACTTCTGAAAATCTGAATGATTAACCTCTCAAACTTCCATATGGCTGGACCTCTGTAGCAAATAAAGGCAATAAGCAGTAATAAAGAACATATATTCATGTGAGACTATATTGCTCACTTTCGGTTACGGTTCAGATTATTTCGCAACACAAGAATGATTCAGACCGCTGACCACCTGTATTCTTTGCGAAATTCAATACTGTTAATTGTGAAATCATAACAACTTAGTATTGGCTAATCACTGACCTTGTGGTTTTTTAAAATGACCCTGTTCACAGTTTAGTTTCCATTGGGGAAATACTCCTCCTCTGCATATTTAATCTTCAAATAGATGATGTAATACTGTTAAAACATTACACTCTCTCATGACAGGAATGCTTCTGTACCCCCTTGTGAGTCTTTACGAAGCTTCGTCGCACACCCATGAAGCTCCAAAGCAGCATGAAATGTTCCACCACAATGCTTTCAAAGTCAGACTTGTATAACAAATACGAAATACAGAGCTTCAAATCTGGAGAGATAGATGTCTGCAAAATCCAAGACCAACAAGACATTGCAAAAATCACATTGTAGGTTCCCAAGTAAACATACATTTGTCCAACTTTTCCTTATTATTGTACATCCTGTGACTACAAAAGACAACCAGATGTATTTGTGCACAGTCTGCAGGGAGACGTTTCAGAGATGTGTTCCCATCGTGGAACTGATTACATCTGGATTACATAATCCGATTCCAAAGTACAGGGTTACTTTTTTATTGATTATATGATTACATATTATTCACACACAATGGACGTAAAAAAAATCATTATTTTTTGATTGTTTGTTATCATCAACATGAAGTGCAAATGTTACGTTTCATCAGGGTTTTCCTAATGAAGGAACTACATGGGGTTTGAGAGTTGATTGAAATCATAAAATGTCAAATAATTATTATTTTTAAATAAAAAATGTGTTTGAAAGAAAAATACTTCCAAAGACAGCAATACATGATTAAATGACTTACTGAGTGATAATTCAAATTATAATTATCGTGTCAGGAGTTGATATGCAATGATGCTGATAAATGATTTCTGTAAATCCAGGTCAAATGCTTTTATTGTTACCTCTCAATTTCCCTCATCCACACGACAAGTATCTAATCTATGTGTGCAATTTCACAAAACTGGAAGACTTTCTGAATATATATAAGCAAAATGTTTTTTAGAAAGGAAAATCTAAAACATGAAAAAGAATAATAAGGGAGAACAGAATATATATTTTTTTATCTTTGTATATTTATATCAACGAGGTTCATTATTATTCAATTCATTGAGAGACACGAGGTCAAAAGTAATCTAAAAGTTATCAAAAAAATGGATTGTATGTTATTACTGATTGTATGTTATTTTTAAATATTTATTTTAATTATAAATTATTTATTTACAGTCAATATAATGAAAATATAACACCTGTAGATAGTAGTTGAGCAAATCTTGTAAAAAATAGTTCTTGTAGACAGGTAATTTGTCTACTTACTACAAAAGCATTTTTTTAAGACCACATATTACTTCAGAAACTGGTTATTCACATAATGATGTCTCATTTTTAGAGTTGTGGTTTTGTTGTAACAGTTGTTTTGGAAACTTTGCGTGGGGTCCGGAATTAAAAAACATGATCTTTACAGTAAAAAGCCAAAATTTGTGTAATAGTTGACTGCATAACAAAGGTTTCATGCAAGCTAGTGGCAAGAATATAATCATATTTAACAGGCATTACAAATCCAGGGAACCTGAGGCTTTCATGCTCTTCTTTTGTTTTTACAATGAGACTGCATTTGGAGACCTCAGCATTGTCCAGGCCTGTCTGAGGAGGTAATTACCCTTTCTTAGCTTCATCTTCTAGCCCAGGGCGATCTCTAACCACTCGACTGAGCCCGTCACCCAACCAATGTCCTCACCTGTTCTTCAGCAAAACAACTGTCAGCAGCAGTGTCAAAAAAACAACCTTATCTGCTATTAAAGATATAATTAGGCTGTGATAAACATTACAAAAAAGTGACAAATTACTGCAATGTTTATTCTCACAGAACAATGGGATGCTTCATTTAATACTGCATTACTTTTCGAACTTGCCCTCCCACGTCTGAACTAAGGAGCGGCTGAGAAAGACTTCATTGTGACCCTGAAAACTGTAGTGTGTGGGTGCATCTGAATTCCATCCTTTTCTAAGAAAAGTTGGACATAACTCAGTATTGAATAATGAAATATGAGCAATTTAGCTATGAAGAACTTAGATAAAGATGTAAATAACCATGACTGATGTTTATGCTGAGAGCAATTTGTTGATTATAGTGAATACATTTTCTTTACATTTTAGTCTTTAATGCGCCCGAATGTGTTATTCCAGAAGACATTTTCAGTTTCATGGGTTTTTCTTTTACACTGTCAGAAAAAAAGGTACAAAAGCTGTCACTGGGGCGGTACCTTTTCAAAAAGGTACACTTTTAACCTAAAGGTGCATATTGGTACTTAATTGTACAAATATGTACCAATATGCACCCTTTAGGTTAAAGTGTTACCTTTTGAAATGCAGTTTTTAGAGTGACAGCTTTTCGTACCGACTTTTCTGAGACTTTGTACATGTTTATGATGCAATTTCTTGTAATGTTGTTTTTTGAAGTTTTAAGTTAAAAAGGGCACTTTAGCAAGAATAAGCTTAAGTTTGAACTGAATATAATGTTTTCGGACACTTACATTATAGCTTAAATTTATATTAAATGCAGTTTTTAGAGTGTTTTTTCACCGACTTAAGTAAGACTTTGTTCATATTTATATGCAATTTCATTAATCCATTATTTTTGTAATGTGGTTAAAGAAGTGTATGTGTTGAAACGTATGTCATATTTAAAAATATTACACATTTGTTATGATGCTGTTCAAATTTAAACTTTTAATACTGTATATAGCTACTTTAAATATTATATTGAACAACACACTAAAGTTATAAAAAAAACTTTACATGGACTTAGTATGCTAATCTAATCAAAATACTTCTACACTAAAAATTGCTGGGTTGTTTTAACCCAACTTTGGGTCAAATATGGACAAACCCAGCCATTGGGTTGTTTTTTTTAATGAAATTTTTTAACCCAACGTTTGGGTTTATCCATATTTGACCCAAAGTTGGGTTAAAACAACCCAGGTTTTTTAGAGTGTATAAAACTTGACAAACGATTATTGAAACAATCATTTAAAATGCACTTTAAAGTAAAAAGAAAGTTAAGAAACATTTTAAGAAAGTGTGTGTGTGGCACAAGAGAATAAGGCAAAATACATAGTTTGAAGTTCTTTGCAAAGTTAATTGGATGTAGAACTCAAACCCAAGTGTGTAGATTAACAGCTTTAATGAGGTGGATTCCTCTGAGAAGAAATCGTATTCATTGGGATATGATTGCACATTTTCCAACTTCTCCCACTATCTCTCTCCCCCTCTCTCTCTACACACGCACACAAAGGTTTCTCCGGAGTCTTTCCCCTCCCTCCATCTAGCAGTCCGTCACCCCTCCTCCTCCAGCTGCTGATGGTCTGCTCATTCTCCTCAGTGAGAGGACAGCACACACACTCCTTCACAACCAGCCTCCTTCTCTCACATACACTCGTGTATGAAACTTTTCCGAAAGTATGTTCAAAGCTGGATATACCTCGAGCGGCACAGATTTCTGGAACATCTGAACAATTTGAGCACTCAGTTGAGGAGAAGGAAGATCAACCAGCGTTAAGGTATGAGGTGTGCTTGAATAAGCCACTGAGGAGGGGTTTTTCCTCTTGACACCGAAAGCGACTGAAGTTTTGCACATCAACAATGAGTCTTAAGAAGAGAAAACCAAGCATGGTGTTCAACTGGCACAAGTCGTTTGCTATCCTTGCCCCTTGGAGAAAAGGTAAGTTGCGTGACTCAATATGCGATCAATCTTGAATGCATTGCTTCACCCAGTCGGCTGCATGCAACACCTGGATCTGAAGCACAGGTAGTAATTTGTCTGGCTGAGGTGTTGGAGGATATTTAGAAACCTGTAATTTGAACTCTAAGGTGTTTTCTGCTTGGTTGAACATGGTTAGTCTTATCTTCAAGGAAACATTCATTATCATCAGAGGAGTTTCGCAGGTAGTTGGGCTGATGTCATTTCAATTAAGTTAGCTCTAAAAGCTGAGCTCGTATAGAAAACCCACAGCCGCAGACTTTATTATATATACAGTGTTGTTTTTAACTGCAGTTGCTTTGGTGTTAACTAGAAAAACATGTGGCAAAACGAGGGGCAGATTTGTGTTTAATTAGTAAGAAACTCAAATCAAACATCAGCATAATGAGAAACATTTTTACAAGCCATTTGTTTTGTTTTAGTGTAAATCACAGACGCATTTTGTCTAGACTTTATATTGCGCAATTGTGTTTCAGAAGGCTTTCTACACATCCTATAACCAGAATGTTGAAACGGTTTATGAACATGCATGGCAAAACCTAAAATAGTTTGTTCTATAAAAATTGAAATCGAGAAATTAATTGAATACATAATCTGTTTTTATTCACTGTAAATAAAAATGATTAATAAGTTACGACAACTTATGTTTTTACATTTTTTCCACCTTTTTTTATAGGTTATTCAAAACTCAACTCAGTTTAATGTAATTTAAGTTGAAATGACTTGTAAAATGTAAATTTACAATTAACAACTTTTTTTAGTCTATAATATTGGTTTCTGGGCTTATACTGTAAAATTTGGTTTAACTTAAAAAAGTAAGTAACCTGGTTGCCTTAAAACTTTAAGTTGATTGAACTGGAAAAAGTTCAGTTAATACAATGAAGGAGATTGATTTAATCATTAGAAACTCAAAATAATAAGTTATGTGAACTAAATAAATGATTTAAGTTGATTTGACAAAAAAAAGTTTTTTTTTTTAAACATTTATAACACCTTCTTGGTTGTAATTGGAACCTCGCAAAACAGATATCAATGGGATTGTCTCTCATGTGAATGTTTATGTTTTTAACAGACTAAATTAGTTTAATAAGCAGCTGGGATTCTCAATATATGACCGTTTAGATGATCAGTGTTACTATAAAGGAAGGCAGTGAGAGGAGAGTGTCACACAGGTGTTTCAACCTCAAGCAAAACTCACATAAGAAACATAGTGGTATCAGATGTGAATGTTTTAGTGGTGACAGATTCTTGAGAGGGGCTCTTCTCCTCTACTTGAGTTATATTATACGTGACTCATAACTGCAAACAGGCACAGCTGCACTGAGTCGAATTCTTCATGCGTAGGATCAGTGTGTGAAATCACAGACGCATGACTCAGTCAGGTAATATGGATATATGAAGACGAGAGATGATTGAGAAAAATAAATCTTCACTGTTGTTTGTCAGTTGTGCATTACTTGTACCTTGATTGTGGTCGTAAGTGGAAAACTAAGTAGAAAATCAAATCACCGTCTTTTAAAACAAAAAAAGGGGATGGGGGAGAAGAGTGGGGTGAGTTTGCCTGAAGGCTTGACTGATGTTACTGCTCCCGCACATTCTTGCCTTATCCTAATGCTGTTAGATAATGAAAGACTGGGCCGTTCAGCTCACATTGATAATGTGCTTCTGGAAAGACTCCTTAGGGTCAAAACCATTGCCTTAGTGGAGAACAGGGACAATGTTCTGGCATTGTGATGAGAGAGAAAGAGACAGAGAAGTGTGAGGCACTAAAGGTCTGCTGGATTTAGATTAGGAAGAAGGGTGAAAAGGTGTAGGGCTGTATTTCACACCTCATCAAACCTGACATCTGGCCTCTGTCACCTTCTTCAGCAAGGAGCAATTCAGGCAGAAAAGTCAATGGATTGCAATCGTGAATGTGTGGTTTGCCCTTAAGAAATTCACCTCAAGTACGCTAGGGGGTATTTGGGTGGTTGTTTTTTTTTTTTTATGTTTTGCCCCTTGTGAAAAAGAAGTGCACTTTAGAATTGCACATGTATTGTACTTCGAATCTTAAAAGTACATTTAAAAAAAGCTATACTTGACTTCAGTAAATGCTCTAATGTCAAATTTAAAGTTTCTCTTTATAGTACATTTTAAATCATTGTTTTAATAATCTTTTGCCAAGTTTTAACACTTACAGTATATTGATGTGTTGACTAACATACTAAAGCACTTGTGCATACTCGATTATAATTTTTGTGTTACATTTAAACTAAGTTGCAACTTCATTATTACAAAATGTTCACTACACATATATTTAAATATATGACATACAAGTCACAAAAGAAATGAAAGCTGCAAGCAGCGATGAAAAGGGCCCTCAAGATCTTCGCAATTTAACGTCGCAAAGGCCTTAAGATTACACTCACCAGCGCTTTTCCAAACAAATACCTGTTCAGAATCCTAACTATAGCAAGCAAGAAAGCAATTACAAGAAAGTGGCTGCAACCAACTTTGCCTACTCTCGAAGACTGGAAGAATATAGAGCATGATATTTTTACAATGGAGAAGCTAACCTATGCTCTAAGACTAAAGTCCCAGTTGTTTTCAGTTTTATGGAGAGATTGGATTGATTATATAACCCATATGCAACCAGATTTAGGTTAATTGAATAAAATAAAGACAGTTGCGATTTAGTGACCTTGGGCAGACACTTTACAGGAATTGGGTTAAATGTGTTGCAGTAGTGGTAATTTATTTATTTATTTTATTATTATTATTATTATTATTTTTAATTATTATTATTATTTTTTTTACTCATATAGCTATTGTATATTTGCTATTCTTTAAATGTATAAGAATGTATCCCTTGGGTTCAAGTCATTCAATACTTTATTGTAACAAAGAATACCTTTTTGTGACAATCTGTATACTATGCTTATAATGTCGGTGTTTCTCTATACTGAGTAATTTATTTATTTATATTTTGTCTGTTTTGATTGTTTTGTTGATGTTTTGTTCCCTTTTTTTGTTGTTGTTTTCTTGCTTGTGGAAAAATAACGAAAATAAAGAATATAAAAAAAAAAAGATTACACTCACCAAATTTGAAGAGGATCAGATCAAAACTGTAGGAGTTCGTTAAAGTACAACATAAATGCACAAAATCTAGGAGGAAGTTCAAAATAGCCGACTTCCTGTTGTGTTTAGGGCTATGCTCCAAGAGACGTTTTTGTAGGTATTGGGTCATTACATGCATGTACCAAATTTCATACCTGTACGTGAAACGTAGAGCCGGGGCAAAATGTGATGGCAATAATTTAAAGAATTTGCCCCACCCAATTTTGAAAACCACATCACACGTAAATTTTCACGACTTCTGAAGCGTGTGCAAAGTTTCATGAGTTTTCGAGAATGTTTAGGCCTTATAAAAAGCGATTCTTTTAAGAGAAGAAGAATAATAATAAACAGAACAAAAACAATAGGGTCCTCTCACCATCGGTGCTCGGCCCTAATTATATTAATGTATATTTTTACCATAAATTCTTGTCAGAACATACTTCAAAGACAATATTGTAATTCTAAAGTAACATATAAAGTTGAACTTAAAGGGTTAGTTCACTCAAAAATTCTCGCCCTCATGTCGTTACAAACCCATAAGACTTTTGTTCATCTTTGGAACACAAATCTTCAAATTTTCTTGCTTTATATGATGAACAGAACCAACCTTATTGGTTCTACTCTTTCCCATATCTGATGTGAGAGTTTTTATGCGAGTGAAAGCCTAAATTCAATCTGTTCATCATATTAAGCGAGTGCGTCTCTTCAGAAAATTTGGAATAACCTCTCAATTCATATGGATTAGTTTTACGATCCCTTTATACATTTTTGGAAATGTCAAAGTAGTTGCGCAGACTGTCAATGGAGAGAGAAATCTCTCAGACTTCATTTAAAATATCTCCATTTGTTTGGAACGACATGAAGGTGAGTAAATGATCTTCAGTTTCCATTCAACCAATGTTTAATATAAAAAATTTGAAATAGTAATACTGATGCAAGTCTTAAAAATGTGTATGTATTACATTATAATATAGGTTCCTGGCTTGTAAGGCCAGAACTTCAATGCTATGTTAAATCAGTCCATTTATGGATTCTAGCGAACTGATTTTTTAGCTCATGTGCTCTCAGGGTCATTCAGTCTGACCACCCATGTGCTAACAGGGTTCTGACATTCTCCTGGCTGTAAAAATAGAAGACCTGCCCTGTCCTGCCTCTGACCTCTCCACCCATAATCACAAAGGAGACAAGACCGACCCACTATACTTATCCCACTGCATCCCCTAACAATACTGTCAAGCTGAAACTCATTTAAAAAAAAAACAAAAAAAACGCTGCACTTCAATTCAACAAAACCTGTTTGTTTGTTTCTTTGCTAAGAATATTTTTGGTTTACAAATGGAGATTCCTAAACGGGGCTCGCCGACCACATTCAGTATGCTAAGTTTTAAGGCTTTACTCATTAAAGTAGACAAAATGTACGCATCCATGACCATTTATCAGTCATGAGCAGTACATCAGTGAACGTAATATTTATGGAAATGAACACCCTTATAATTACGATAAAATAGGGTGCCTGCATGTGGCTTTAGTTGTCAGACGTGATGATGTAAAAAGAAATGATGAACCGGTTCAGAGAAATGAATCAGACTTCCCATCACTGTCAAGAGCGCATAGCTGTATATCATCTCACTGACTGTTGATACAGATAGTGCCAGTTAAACTGGGTGTAGACTCTAATTTTGTGTTAGTAAAGCAGAACTCGCAAACATAGCAGTGTTGAAATGTGGTAAACATGAGTGGGTGAGGCCAGATGGAGTAAACATGTTCTTGTCGAAGCTTGTGAATTCTTCACATTTTATCCCTGTGAATGTTTCTAATGATTCTCACATTCTTCATCTCAAAGGAATAGCAGCAACTTTTGGTTATTAAAGCAGACTTTTCCTCTCCCTTTCAGGACAGATAATTGACACAATATGTTTTGAGTAGTTATGCCTCGCAGAAATTCTTCAAATTAAATATTTATTAGACTTATAATATCCATCTGGAACATATCAGTGTTTTTAAATCTACATACAGCTGTAAAATACACTGGAGCAGATGATTCTAGGATTCTTGAATGTGAACAGAGTATTTTATCAGCTCAAATATGTGAGGAACTTGCCAGTTGTACACAGTGAAAAACATTCTCCACTGACCTAGAAGAAAAACACTACTGCAAGTGGCATGTGACTGCTTTAAAAGAGAGAAAAACCAGTGAATAAGAAAATATGCACAAAGCAACCTCTAAAGATTATGGAGGCCCATTTCCGCCACACAAGGAAAAGAAATCATGCTTTGGTAAATAATAATTGTGACATAAAAAGCCCAAACTATAACATACTATCTCAGAATTTTGAGTTTAAATGAATTTATGACATAAAAAGTCTAAACTATGAGATACTAAGTCGTAATTTTGAGAAAAAAAGTTGGAATTATGACATACTCTCATATTTGCGAGATACAAGTCAAAGTTCTTACATACTAAGTCAAAATAGTTAGTCAAAAGTAAGTCAAAATTATAAATGATGAGATACTGAGTTATAATTATAGATAAGAGATAACATTTAAATTATAACTGTAATATAAGTCAAAATTATGAGATAAAACATAATTATTACATAAATGAAAACTCAACTTTTCATATGAATTTCCACTTAGTATGTCATAATTTCAACTTTTTATCTCACAAATATGAAAGCATAAGTCATTATCTCGATATAATGACTTAGTATCTCATGGTTTAGACTTTTCATGCCGTAATTGAATTTAAGCACAAAATTATGACAAAGTATCGTGATGGACTAAGCAGTATTTTGTCTAATGCGGCTTCCAAAGACTGACGTGTCGATACTCCTAAAGTGTTGTACCTGCCTTTCACTCCTGAAACAATCCCCCATCAGATATTCGCAGCCTCCCAAGTGATAAGGACCAGAAATATGTGGGGTTTGATTCCCGCCAACACTATCATTGACCTGTTTTTATTTTGAATATATTATCCTCTGCAGAATGAAGGCCCTTAGCATTACTTACATTCCTGGCTGCCAGGGGCTAGCGAGGGCTTTTTGATCTCTCTGTACAAGCGGCCACGTCTGAGCGATGTTAATTGAAAACCGAGGGGGATTTAGATGCTGACTACTTGCCCCTACTGAGTGGCATCAAAAATGTCCCACCATCAGCAGTTCTGTAATCTCAGCTGGAGAGCACGGGTGTATGAAAGACCGACCCAATGGGTCGGTCTAATTGACCTGTAGAAGTAAATTAGCTAAAATATTATTCAGGGCCTCACATAGAGAACTCCAATTACTATAGGCTTGGGTTTCATGTTGGGACTGCTTGTAGGTAATTATCGGACAATGTACTGTTTTTTTCAGTCTCTTATGTTTCATATTTGTATGGCATGGTGCAGAGTACAGTAAACTCTGAATAGACTAAAATGCTGCTGTATTTCATGGACGTTCATAGTGTCTTCATGCACTCATCATGGACAGACACATTACCGTTTCTGGAAACTTGAATTCCACCAAGTTAGCAAAAAAAAAAGGATTAGAGTATAATGAAACAGGACCTGTTTGTTCAACACAATTTTTTTTCTCGTACCATTCTTACGCCAAATAGTTTTTGTGTGCAAATGACATGCACTGAAAACCCATTAGGATTAGGGGTTTGGAGTGTGTGCGTATTACACACCATAAAGTGCGTATCATATGTGCGCAAAAACTGTTTGGCGTATGAATGCAGCCCGTTCTCATCCCAAGGCATCATACACTCTAAAAAATGCTGGGTTGTTTTAACCCAATTTTGGGTAAAATATGGACAAACCCAGCACATTGGGTTAAAAATGTAATTTAAAAATGTAACCCAATGGTTTGTCCATATTTTACCCAAAATTGGGTTAAAACAACCCAGCATTTTTTAGAGTGTATATCTGATGCTTTTGACCATGCGTCAACATCAGACGCACATGGCACCCTTTAGCGTCGATATGAGACGCGCCTCCTAGTGGTCTAACCCTAACCCTACCCCAGCCTTAAACCTACCCGCGTCATCAAACTGACACTAAAGGTTGCCATGTGCGTCGGATTTAGACGCATGGTCAAAAGCGTCAGTTAGATGACGCCCTAGGATGAGAATGCGTTGATAAATGGCACGAGAAATTTTATGGTACATTTTTTTCATTTAGATAAAGTCTGTTTGTAGTTGATTTTACACAGGAGTTATGGAGTCCAGGTGTTATGTACACACATGGGTTTATGAGAAAGGACTGTAAAAACACAGTCACTGATTTGAATGGGAAAAAACCTGGAGCAGAAGCAAAGATGGTATGATCTCACGTAATTGAAACACTATCAGTGTTTTCACAGTTACTATCCAATCTGAAAAAAAGTTCAACAAACAAAAATATCATAAATTCTTTTCTCTCAGAAGACACGGGAGCGCTTATTATTAAAAGTGATACAAAAAACACTTTATCGAGCTGGGAATGGCTAAAGTGGCTATTATTGTTATCTTTTTTAAGGCCTCGTGAAATAACTTAGCCTACCATATGATTTCTACCCTAGCATTGTATCAATGTGAAGAGTATGTCAAAGCTAAAATCTATTTGCAAGCCAATTTCCTCACAGTTTGTGTAAATTAGGAAGCACTTTATTACTCGAACAAAGTAAATATACATTAATGAGCACATATATTTTTGAAACAACTAAGTGTTTTTAGCTAAAAGAGTTACACAGTGTAGCTTTAAATAGGGATAGTGACAGGATTTTATGGATTGATGGTATTTTATGATTTTAATATTGTGAAAGTTCAAAATCATTAAAATGTTTTTATTTGTTTTGCAGGTAAAGGGGACATTGTTTTAGAGAATGAAGTTGTACTAACAAAAATGAAGCTCCTCAACAACTTCCCTGAGAAACTACTAAATGTTGAGGATTCCATTTCAACCATCTCCATTTCAATGTCTGAGCAGGATAACAGAGAGCCTCTCCAGGCTGACGAGGTGATCTCCATCCACAGCGCTGCTCCAGATACAACTGTGACTGAATCAAAAACAGACTATCTATCTTCGATTTTTGCTGATTCTGAGCTTCAAAGATTGTATAAGTTTGAATCTGAGGACTCTGGGGTAGAGATGACTAGTGGAGCGACTTCCCCATCCACCCCAACTGGTTCAGAGCAAAGCTTTGTGGTCCACAGTAGAGGGTCTTCATGTGACTCTGGCAATCTGACCTCTCATGCACATACTGACAATCCTCTTGAAGACAGTTCAGTCTTTTTGGAAACTGAACAAATGTCTTGTAAATGTGCTGAACAAGATACTCTTGCCATTCTGGGAGACAGAAGAGAGGATGAGAATGCTGATAATGATTTAATAGACCTGATAGCAGATTCAGAGAGGTCCGAGGACAGAACCCTGAGGAATACCATGGAGAACTGTGAAGATGAAATTGAAATCATATCAGCACAGGTGGAAATAACAGGCACTCCAATGGCTGAGGACACGATGTCAAGGAACCAGTGTTCTATTGAAGCTTACGATGGCGAAACAGGACCTGAATTTCAGCAACAGCCTTTGAGGAAAAGCACAACCAGCGACAGCTTGGATGAGTACATGGAAGAGTGCTGCAGGCTAAGTGAGGTAGACATAACAGTTTACATGTCTTTTATTGTTATATACTTGACATCATGCAGTTATGTCTGCTTTTATATAAACAACAATGGCATATATCAAGCATTTAAGTGTGATATAAACAAGAACCTGCTCTGTTTTACCTCACTGCTATGAATTACACAGAATTTACTTGGGAGAATTATGTTTTTAGTCTTTTCTAAAGATAATGTATTTTTGCTGAAAATCAAAAACAAAGGCGTGTACTGTAAAAACAGTTACAGATATGTAGAAATGTCTATCAAATAGAAGTAAACATCTGAAGTGGTGTTTACCTATTTTGCTGGAAAACAAGGCAAAAACACTGATTAAGTTTTTTTTTTTTTGCAGTGTGATTAGGAAATCAGCAGTCTAAATAATGTCCTTGAAATTAAGTTGTTTTATACCCCAGAGAAAATCAGAGTGAAATGCTCTTCCTGTCAATCAAGTTCACGATGATCGTTTACCACTGCTAAACACAACATGATATAATGCTAATTCATTGACATTATGTGAACTGAAAACAGTCCTGGGTTATTAAAATGTAAGATGCAAGTGCAGAATGTGAAATTAAGCTGTTTGAGAGAAGAAGACTGTCAGTGAAATGTTCATTGTGAACATGGTAAAATGAATAGCTACTGTTTACAGTTTAGAAGCACACACATATCCTCTCTCATTAGCCGTAATGACGGTGTTCCCACAGCTTGACGTCATCAGCTCATCACAGAGTGTGTATGATTTGACCAAAAAGGAAAACAGGATAAAAGCCTTCCTGTCAGCAGTGTTTCCGTAGATTTTCTTTCTTTCTAAAGAAACAGCTTCTTTTAGCATTTCTGCTGATTTGTAAAGACTTTTTCCCCCCACAAATAAAAATATAGCACACAACAATGAGCACACCTCAGCTCGCTTCCAAGCAGCCCTTAATAGTCATATTAATATCTATAAATTTGGTTGGTCTATATACACAGTAAGTGATGCTCAACAGTTTTTTTTCTTTAGGGCCCAAATTTTACATTAGTGACAAAAAACTCAAAGCAAACACTCAAAGCAAAAGCTTGTCTTTACAATTTGAGTTTGGTTTCTAAATCCTAAATGCAATTGCTGATTACCACTGTAGCGGCCACAAAAGTCATTCAGTGAGGCCTGTTTACACCTCCTGATATTAAATTGCATTTGGGTGATCAGATCACAACATGGGGTGCGTTTCCCGAAAGCAACGTTAGCCAACTATGGTCGCAAGTTCCGTCGTTATCAGCATAGTTCAACGAGTTGGTGTTTCCCGAAACAATCGTTCCAACGAACATTCGCAAACAGCATCGCAAAGTTGTGTGGTTTAAAACGACAGCTCTCGACCTGTGGTTAGAGGCGTAGTTTATGACATTTGGATGTAATAAATTCTTATCTTGAGCTAAATAAGCAAGCTGTCATTCAGTACAACTGGTGACTTTTATTCAGAATTCATAAAAATGTCATTTACGTCTTTTAGTTTTTGAAAAGATTTAAAGTACCGATTTTGAAGATTGCGCATGTGCGTATGTGCAGTCGTGACTAGCTAGTTGATTTCTCCAACGATGCATTATACTATGGTAGTGAAGCAGCGAACTAAATTGTTGTACGAGGAAACGCACCCCTGGACGAAACCAAATACAAGTGTAAACTTAGTCTAAAACGTTTTGAGCTTGTCCACTTACGACCACTTCCAGTTAGTCGAAAACGCATTCAACCGGATTGCTTCCATATAGTAGACGTTTATGTGGTCGAATGTGTTCGTACAGCCGCAAAAGACCGACAAACTCTCTGCCTACACTGTAAAAAATATTGTTGCTTTAACTAACAAAATGAAGTAACCTGGTTCCCTTAAAATTTTAAGTTCACTGAAATGGAAAAATTTAGTTAATACAATAAAGGAAGTTGATTTAATCTCAACCAGAAACTCAAAATATTATGTTATCTGAACTACATAAATTATTTAAGTTGATTTGACAAAAGAAAAATGTTGTGACAAATCATGAAAATATTTTTTTACAGTACGGACTTAATGTGTAAAAATTATGGGAAGCGCACTAACGATGAACGAATCCCAGATGGGATTTTAAACTTTGCCTGCTGGAGACCCAAGTTTGGTTTGAAGAGGAAAAACGTACCAAACGCAATGTTCTCGCATCATTCCTCATTTCTAACATGCACTCAGTGTTTGGCGTGGTCTTGCGGCTTCCAGAGCAGAGAGCTGATGCTGTCCGTGTGTTTTTTATCGTCATTGGCCGCGTTCATTGTAACTTGCGTGAGCTTATTTGGCCATTAGGCCGTGTGTCCACCAAAGCGTTTTTCCACGCACATGGCATATACGTTTTCAATTGTTGTCAATGGGAGCGCCTGAAGCGCTTTTTTTCACGCTGAAGCGTCGAGCGCCCAGCGTTTTTTACTGGTCGTCGATAGTTGAAAAATGTTCAACGCAGCGCTCGTCACTGTCACTTTTTAGCCAGCCGTCCAATCACAATGGAGGCGGGGCGGGACTAATACCACACCGACCAATTGTCACAACTTTCAAACTGTACTGAGGATATTTTCTATCATAGCAATGAAACGTCTCAACGGAAAAAAAACGTTGCGCTGCCAAAACACTCTCAAGCGCCCAAAGCTCGGCGTCTTTCAGCAGAGCGTCTAGCGTTTAGCTGGCTAAAAACGCTTTGGTGGACACACGGCCTAAGATCAAAAGATCTGAAAAAATAAAATAAAATAAAAAAAATCACCAGCCTATAAACCATACCCTTGAAAAAATCAGGAAAGAAGTGGTTTAAAGTGGACAAAAGAGATCTTAATAGCAGGCTGTAAACAGGGCCTGAGATGTGTGCTGGGTACAGTTTTGAGAGCTAAGAGGATGTTCTGCGGGGTGTGCTGTGCAGATCTCTCCCCTTTAACGCGGCCGCCACATCACACAGCACCTGTTCATCTGTGTTGAGAGAGCATGCAGATGGCTGAGTCGATTACAGCTGCAACAGCCAATGCAATGCCTCTCATCTGGACTGTTTCCCTCAGTCACCATTGCTCGTCCAAGCCTCCCTGGATGCATCAAACAGGTGTCAAATAGCTCAAATTACTCACATATTTATCCAAATAATGCCTCTTTGATAGCTTCTGGGTCTTTTGTGGCCAGTGACTGGACTTTTTTTTTTTTGACGAATGGTCGACTTTATGGGAGCTGCGATGACAGGTAGCCAGGGCGGTAAACTCGGCCCTCATCATCACCTGTCACCACAGCTAATAAGCTAATTCCCTTGCCTGTTTAAATGGAGCTCTGTGGCCTGAGGAAGAGGATATTGAAAAGGGACTATGAGCTTTTTTCCCATCCGCTTCAAACATGGCAACTTCAAAGGGCCTCCCTCCTCCTCGTTTCTAATCTCATTTGTTCCCAACTTATGAGGGTAGGAAGGACACAGAGCTACAGTGAAGATTTAACTGTACAGCAGGTGTATGCCAATCACAATAGACTGATTGTTGTTTTGCACTTATTTAGGGGGAGATTGAGCAAACAGTTGTACGCTTAAGGGATATTTTACTCAAAAATAAATATAAATCACTTAAATCACCCTCATTGTCATTCCAAGCCTGACTGTGTCTTTTTTGTGAAACACAGAAGAAGATTTTTTGAAAAAATGTCTCAGTGTTTCAGCAACCCAAAATAAAAGTCAGTGCGGCCAAATCTGTTTTTGGACTCATTTAGACAATTGTTTTTCTATTTTATTCTTAATCTGACAAAGTAAACTGACTGAATAATAGGATATGGACTTTTGTTCATTTCTAGTGCATGTTTTAGCAGATGCCAAAACATGTTCACAGTTGCACTTAATATACCCTTTATAACTCCTTGTTTATCAATAATGAAAGCATAAATCAAATTAGCCAAAGTATTTCAGAAATGAAAGCACGGGCCGATAATGTACAATTTCCAGTTCTGTAGAGTCCTGTGAGCTCAAATTATGTGTGGCCCTGAGCAATCAGATATGGACAGCTTGAAGAAAGGCTCAATCGCAATATTTAAAGATGGCATTGGGAATAAATAAACATGTAAAAGAGATTAGACTCTTCTATGTTAATCAATGCATGTGTTCGGCTGGTAGCCAGCTAGCTTGCATATGTTAGTCTCTCTGTATTGGTATAATAAGACATTAAAAGCATTTTTTTGAGTCTCAGTTGACAAGATGTTGTGGAGCAGAGCGAAATATGGTATCAGGGAGGAATGAAGACAGCGTAATTGCTGTTGCCCTTCTGGAGCTCCTCAGAAACCCCCAGGACAGCCACAGCTGAGGAGTTGAATTCCTCAGCTGTAACACATAAACAGTCTTAACGCCAACATTTCCATAATGCGAGAGTTAGGCTTTAATCTAATGATAGATGAGGCATGGAGACTGGCGCTGCGTGTGCCACATCTAGCTCAAACTTTTGGCTGACACTCCGGAATGTGACGTAACAGGTCGCGA